GTTACAGAAACAAACATATACATTTTAATACGTGACTTAATTGAGAATTCGTGAGGCATTCATCTTCAATATACCTTTTAAAGGTACCACTAGAAGTCCTGTTTATAACCAGAATCTCCCATCCGGAGAACGTGACAAGTGTGTATAGATCTATACGGGACTAATGATCCCGCGCCCTGACTGCTAGCTACAGTCCCCGGGGTGACAAGTGTCATCTCATTTCGACGCCTGAAGAACGTCGCTACATGCAAACTATGATAGTACGGTTATAAAAACTCACTGGATAGACAATTATTATGGTATTACGTTTTAATGGGGAAAAGTAACAAATACAGTTTTTTTCACATTCAAATACAAATCTTCTTGTAGTTTTGTTTTATAATAAGACTATACATCATCTTTTGAGCATGTCATATTTGCTTACAGGTTACGGTCTTGGACATTTAAGATTGCATCTCATTTAGGAAAATATAGGATTTTCCCGGTACAAATACACACAGTTTATACAACGATCTTTCATACTCATTACATACATTTGTTAGAAAATATCGGATTTTCTGGAAAACCTACACGAACTTTCGAATGACATACATTTTATCAAAACACTACTTATGAACTCACCAACTTTGTTGTTGACACTTTTTCTTTGAAATAACTTGTATTCTCAGGAAAACGCTAAATCAGGTAGCAACTACTTTTGAGGACTAACACGCTGGCGTTAGTAACATATTTTGGATCACCATATTGTATTTGATATTTAAACATGTAACACATACAATCATGTAAACTTTTCAAATATATTTATATTATGGTGGTGTGTACTTTCTTTACTATTCAATTGTTATGATACTGTACATGACGTCCTCCGCCCCCGAATGTTTCCGCCGTTCTGGTTTGGGGGTGTGACACCGACGGTCAAGTTAGATCAGCTAGAAGATCTGAGATGGTTCTCCATAGCTGGAGGGAACCATCTTGGTGCTAGTGGTGGTGTATGGTGGCTGACGGCGGAGGGTGGCTGCTGAGCCACCCAACCGGAGTATAGTGGCGGCTGAGCCAAAGGGAAGGATCTAATGGCGGCTGAGCCACCTGGGAGAGAGTCCTCCTCTAAGGAGGAGGCACTATTCTATTTATAGTGGACAATTAGGTCAAGGGGAATTGGGGCAGGCCTTGGGCTAGCCCAATTCAGGCCCAACTAGCAAGGAGCTGGGCAAGGCCGCCCGGAGGCGCCGGGCGGGGCTGGCGGGCGCGCCCCAGGCAGGGCTGGCGGGCGCGCACCAGGAAGGGATGGCAAGGGAGTGCCAGGCGAGGGAGCGCCTGGCCGGGCAGGAAGGAGAGTCCCCAGCAGGGCTGGCAAGGGAGTCCCCAGCAAGGCTCGCAAGGGAACGCCAGGCAGGGCTGGCAGGAGCGCGCCAGGCCAGGCTGGCGCGCTGGAGCAGTCTAGGCCATGCCAATGGACCATATATCATCAAGTCCCCCCAGTCTGGTGTTATTGGTACGCGGCCAATGACATCGGACTGGAACTAGTCATATAAACCAACAGGAGAGTCCCCAGCGAGGCTGACAAGGGAGTCCCCAGCAAGGTTGGAAGGAGAACGCCAGGCAAGGCTGGCAGGAGCGCGCCAGGCTAGGCTGGCACGCTAGAGCAGTCTGGGCCATGCTAGTGGACCATATATCATCAAGTCCCCCCAGTCTGGTGTTATTGGTACGCGGCCAATGACATCGGACTGGAACTAGTCATATAAAATGTGTGTCGTCAAGTCCCCCTAGTCTGATGTGATTGGGTTTCTGACAATCGGATCGGGCTAGATAAAGCACCAATACAATAAATAATAAAGAGAAATGACCGAACCTCGCCCACGAGAGTCGTGGGGTGGTGCGATGAGCCAAGCATTGCTTATGTGGCTTGAGCTGGCTTGATACTCCTTCATTAAGAGGAGTGTGAGTCGGTCGGTGCGATGCAACGTAACTATTGTTGCGATCCTGCGGACCGAGGCTGCTAAAGAGTGTTACACGACACTGATGTCGATGGAATGTCGGGCCGGGGTAGCTAAGAACCGTAAGCTTGCCATTCAGTCCCTGAGACTGTTATCCGACGTGATTGTTGTGGTAGCCATGCGAGATGGGATGTCACCGATATCTGTCTACATAGTCCGCATTAATAACCGCCTTGAAGGTATTTCTTGCTTGGGCTACACCTAGCTGGATTCCCCCCAGTCTGATGTGGGTAACGTAGGTGGCCGCATCAGACTATGTTGTTAAACCAATAAACTGTAAGGTTGTTGACCATAATATAAGTGGCAGATATTCCGAGAGCTGCGCGATTAGGTTGCTAGCGAGGGTCACGCAATGAGACTATTGCTGATAGCCAGACAATAGAATTGTTGAGGGATAGGCAGTGAGGCTATAGGTTGGGGTTGCATAGCAAGACCGTTTCCGAGAGCTAGGAAACAGAGGTGTTGTGGGGTACGCGACGAGGCTACAGGTAGGGTTGCACAGCGAGACCATTTTCGAGAGCCAGGAAACAGAGATGTCGTGGGGTAAGCGGCGAGGCTACAGGTAGGGTTACGCAGCAGGACTGTTTCCGATAGCCAGGAAACATAGGTGCTGTGGGGTCGTAGGTAGCAGGGCCGCTATCGGGATGACCTTCTTGCTGGAGAGTATCCTCTCTATAGCAGGTTGTAATGTGGATAACACTTCATCGATCGTCCGAGCACAAGAGAATCATGATGACTGTGAGAGAGGAAGTACCAAGATCATGGTGTGGAAGAAGCTTGTGATGCGCGACTTATGATGCGCGACTTAGGAGAATAGCTTGGGCTTAGCATCTAATGATCATGGAGGTGTTACGCGGGAGAGCACGCGCGGAATGGATCAGGCTTGGCTGCTAGTGATCGTAGATAGATCACGTGAGAGAGCATCGCGTGGAATGGTCGGGGCATGTTGCTATACTAGAGTCGGGCTGAGAAGCCAGGCGACTCGAGGCAAAGGTATTGAACCTCGCATGCAGAGCTTGCCGCTATAATGGAGTCGGGCTGAGAAGCCAGGCGACTCGAGGCGAGGGTACTGAACCTCGCATGCGGAGCTTACCGCTATAACGGAGCCAGGCTGGGAAGCCAAACGAGTCAAGGCGAGGGTGCTGAACCTCGCATGCGGAGCTTGCCGCTATAATGGAGTCGGGCTGGGAAGCCAGACGACTCGGGGCGAGGGTACTGAACCTCGCATGCGGAGCTTGCCGCTATAATGGAGTCGGGCTGGGAAGCCAGGCGACTCGAGGCGAGGGTACTGAACCTCGCTTGCGGAGCTTACCGCTATAACGAAGCCAGGCTGGGAAGCCAAACGAGTCAAGGCGAGGGTGCTGAACCTCGCATGCGGAGCTTGCCGCTATAATGGAGTCGGGATGGGAAGCCAGACGACTCGAGGCGAGGGTACTGAACCTCGCATGCGGAGCTTGCCGCTATAATGGAGTCGGGCTGAGAAGCCATACGACTCGAGGCGAGGATACTGAACCTCGCATGCGGAGCTTGCCGCTATAATGGAGTCGGGCTGAGAAGCCAGGCGACTCGAGGCGAGGGTATTGAACCTCGCATGATTGGGCGTAGCGCCCTACAATCTATGTATCTAGCTCGTGTGATCAGTCTGAGTTAAAGCGGAATGGTACCTGATGCTTTGCTGCATCGCTAGTCATACTAATAATTGATGTCTCGGTGCCTTGACTGTTTGCGGAGAGCTACGTGGCGGTGCTACTTAGAGCTTGATAGTGTAGCTGCTATTAGGAGGTGCATAGCGAAATTGCTGTCAGGAACTGGTCAGCAGGGCCGCTGAGGCCCGGGGAGCGAGCTGCTAGCGATAGGTGAGCAGCGCGACCACCGAAAGCTGGGCAACGAGACTACCGAGGGTTGAACCATGAGGCTGCTCTTTCGTTCTAGAATATTAATGTCACCCCGAGTGCATTGTCATGCATAGCATTAGCTCTTCATGTACTTTAACTCTGTTCCTTCATAATAAAAATAACTTCTGCATAGTGTCGTGCCAACCCCCCCCCCCCCCCATTTTTCTTAGAGGAGGCGAAGAAAGGTAAAGAAGGATGTATAGTCGCTGAAAGCTGAGATACATAGCTGCTGGAAAGAGCTAGGCGATCCAAGTACTAACAAAAACTGGGTAGCACAGCTGGCGAGAGCTAAGCAGCGCGACTGCTGGGAGCCAGACAAAGTAGCTGCTGATGATTGGGCTTTGCGGCTGCTGAGCTAGGTCGTGTCGCTGCTGAAGGTCGAGCTGCGCAACTACTAAGAGCTGGGAAGTAAGACTAGCGGGGGCCGGTTAACATGAATGGTGAGAGCTGATTAGCAAGACTTCCCAGGATTGGTCAACACGATTGCTGATAGCCGCGCAACGCAGTTGCTGACTGCTATTTCGAAATGATTCACTAGTAGTAGTAGCGTACTACTCTTCTCCCTCCTTTTTTCCTTGAAAACATTGAGATGGCCAGACCGCATCTTATAGAATCAGATTTAGCTTGACTGGATTGGAGCACATGGCGTTGAGTTGTTGATTTTTCTCTTGCTAGAATGGGCCCAATAAGATGAAAATTTGATGTAGGGAAGCCCACATTGTTAAAATAAATTCAAGAGCCCATTTGGAAATTACTAGCCCAATTCCTTTTTCATTCTTTTTTTTTTAAAAAAAAACATGTTGGGTAGTCCAAGTTGTTGTGCATTTTCTAGAATCAGGTTTATTGGACGAGATCGCAGCACTTGGGCATTGGCAAATAGGTTACTTTACTTATGCAGGAAAAATTGGGCCATTTGCTGCTTGCTGAGACAGCCTAATTAAAATGTCATTAAATTACTCAACCCATTTGTAGCTTATGAGTCCAAAATGAGAAACAGTAGCCCAATTATAATTTGCGAGAAGCCCAAATTGATTGTTATAGCAGCCTCTTAGGGTTTTGGAGCTGTAGGCCCAAATTCTATTTTGTGTCTCAACGTCCGTTTGAACATTCCATGGTGTCAAGTGTGTTTGACTTTTTTTTTTACAGCCGCCCCCATCCCGTTCTCCATACCCTTCCTAAGGTCGTTCAGGCGAAGAAAAAAGGATCGACGACTAACGATCTATGTCGCCTGTGGAGGAAGATCGGAGCATCGAGTTCTGATGGCGACGCGGGGTCGGATGGAGGTGCTTGGCTCTGGAGGTGGTCGTCTGGTCCTGGGATCGACCGGAGACGTTCTACTTCTTCATTTTCACTTTTCCTTTTCGCATGTGGAACGAATTTAAGCACCGATCCTTTTCCTCCTCATTCTCTTCTTGCTGAGTCGCCGACACTGAAAACGATGAGGGCGAGAGGGTTGTTCATCGATGGATTCCGGTGGTATGGTAACCGCTATGGTGAAGGGTAAGCGATCGTTGGGTTGTTAGGTTGAAGGCAGTCGGTGATGGGATGTAGTCTGACAGTTGTAGGTGGTTGTCAATATCAAAAACCACTGCTAATGGGGGTCTTCGGGTGGTCTGGTCGCCGGTGATGTTGATCCTCGGAATGAATCAGGTAGTGACTGGTGGTGCTTCGGTTCCAGTCGACCATAGTGGTCGAGGAACAGGTGCCGGAGTGGCAGCTAGCGCCCGGTGATGAAGCGGGGATACGAAGGTTGCGATTGGCATTGGAGTTCGTCACTGGGGATTGCGCCTAGGTCCCACTTGCCGGAGCCTGAAGTACCCGATGGTAACCGGTAGTGTAGTTCCGGCTGGCATTGAAAGGTCGAGAAAGCAGGGTCGAAGATTCTTCTGGTTGCTACTTTTGTTTCCGACGGTCGACAGGTGGTCGACGGCAGTAGTGTTTGGTGACTATGTGGACCCACCTTTTGACTTTTCTGCCAGCTCCTTTGACTGAGTGGGGCCCATACGCCTCTGAAGGATAGCATCACGTGGAGGCCAGCTGTGGTTTTTTGGCTTCTGTCCTATAGTGTATACTGTATACACCACTTCCCCCCTTTTTTTCCTTTTTGGTCGGCTATGAAAGGACAACAAGCAAATACAGCTGTTGTATTTGCTTTTTTTTTATATGATGTGAAAGGGAATCAGCATTGAATATATATACCATTGAATATACAACTTTTTTTTTCTGAAGGTTTTGTAAAATGTACAAGCCATATGGCTGTATGTACAAATAATTATTACAGTGGGTAAGAATGTACATGGAAATGCACAGCTAGAGAAGAATTTCCAGATGATGTATGAACAAAAGATGGGTTGAAACTCATGGAAAACTTCTTTTCTTCTCTAACTTTCTGAAAAAGCCCCAAGATGTAAACAAAAATGGATCTGATGAGGTTTCTTCTCATAAACCCCCTCCCCTTTTTTTTTACAGCTTGTTCAACAAGCTATCAAAATTTGAACAACAAACAGATCTGAAAAATTATTGTTTCCTTTTCTAAGCTTTTGAAGATAAACACCAAAAATATGAACAACGGGAAAGAATTCGATTTTTTTTTGAAATGAACAACCATCCCAGATTTGTTTACAAGTAGATGTTGCAGGGAATAAAGTTATTCATAGAAAATCTTAACTAAAAAACGATTTTCTAATAATATGAACTTGAAAAAAGGATAAACTTATAAAAATTTCTTTTCTCCCCAACTTGCTAAATGGCTCACTGAAAAGAAAGACGAAACTGATCTGAAATATCCTTGTAAACTCGAAAAATGCTTGAATGAACAAAAACTAATGTAGATCCAAAGATCTAGTCTTAAAACGAAATAGATCCATAGATCTAAACAAAAACACTAAGCGGATCAGGAGATCTGAACGATAGAACACATCAGATCAAGAGATCTGAGGAGTGGATAATCAGATTTGGACAGATCTTGGTAAGCCCCAACGGATCTGAACAAAAGATGTTAAATATGAACAGATCTGAGCAAACCTGAGCTGAAATGCAACAGATCTGAACAGATCTAGGCAAGAACGAGATGATAGCTGCTCGTTCGAGTCCGGGATGGCGCCAAATAATGCGACATCGACCTCCGGCGAACCTTCTGGTCTTCTGTTGCTGCGGAGATCTGGACATCACAGTACAAAGTCGTTAGAGCCGTCCCAGGGACTGTGCCCCGGGAGCGGACTCCGACGGTCAAGTTAGATCAGCTAGAAGATCTGAGATGGTTCTCCATAGCTGGAGGGAACCATCTTGGTGCTAGTGGTGGTGTATGGTGGCTGACGGCGGAGGGTGGCTGCTGAGCCACCCGACCGGAGTAAATTAGGTCAAGGGGAATTGGGGCAGGCCTTGGGCTAGCCCAATTCAGGACCAACTAGCAAGGAGCTGGGCAAGGCCGCCCGGAGGCGTCGGGCGGGGCTGGCGGGCGCGCCCCAGGCAGGGCTGGCGGGCACGCACCAGGAAGGGATGGCAAGGGAGTGCTAGGCGAGGTAGCGCCTGGCCGGGCAGGAAGGAGAGTCCCCAACAGGTCTGGCAAGGGAGTCCCCAGCAAGGCTCGCAAGGGAACGCCAGGCAGGGCTGGCAGGAGCGCGCCAGGCCAGGCTGGCGCGCTGGAGCAGTCTAGGCCATGCCAATGGACCATATATCATCACTGGATGACCCCTGGGCCCTCAGTACGAGTCTGGAATGCCTATCGGGCCCTCAGCTCGTATCTGGAATACCATCGAGCCCTCAGTACGAGTCTGGAATGCCTACCGGGCCCTCAGCTCGTATCTGGAATGCTCCCGAGTCCTCAGTATGAGTCTGGAATGCCTACCGGGCCCTCAGCTCATATCTGGAATACTCTAGGGTTTGTTGGCTACCGCACGGAGCAGTACATCCTCAACCCATCCCACATAACATATCAACATGTAACAGATAATGCACATACAGGAAATCAATCAGTATCACAGGTAGTCCTACAGACCCACCCTCTAGCATATCAAACTAGCATGCATAACCAACTCATACTCAACATAATACAACTACTAGGATATCATATCCAATGGGCCGGCCTTGGTGCCTTAGACCCCTTAGTATAGTGAGGATAACTCACCTCGCAAATGTCGACTCGGAAGATAAAACCCAACTCTCGAATCACTTGGCACAGGCTCCACCACCTAACACCAAAGCACAATATACTCATAAGTCCTTAACCTTATAAGGTACTCCATAACCCACTAGTCAACCCCTGGTCAAAGTCCAAGTCCTCAGTCAAGGTCAACAGTCCATGTTGACCCCAACTCGCCGAGTACCCTCGGCTACTCGCCAAGTTCCTTGAACCACAATCCAACTCGCCGAGTCATCGGGGTGACTCGTCGAGTTGCTTCGATTCTCGTTCAAACTTTAAGGCCACCCGTCAAGTTCCCTCCTTGCAACTCGACGGATACACACGCATACATATCCTAGGGAAAACTCATCCGACTCGCTGAGTTGTTCTTTAACTCGCCGAGTCTTATGGTAATCTTCATCGGACTCGCCGAGTTGTTCATCCAACTCGTCGAGTCCACGGCCATCTTCATGTGACTCGCCGAGTCAACCTTGCGACTCGCCGAGTCCATTCAGTCCCTTTTCCATACAGACCTATTTTGAGCCATGCAGCAGCTCCAAATCATAGATCCAAGCTTCTAGGGCATGCTTATCACGTAAAGTTGCAAACTATACGTGCATGCATGGCTATAAAGGCTCTAAATGCCTATTTTAAGTTCTTAATGAAACTTCATGCTCAAGAGGGACCTTAATCCTGACCAAAACTGAAACTTTTTGCTTATAGAATCCAAGGAAGGTCCAGATCTGAAGTTACAACCTCATATCTAGCCCATAGCTCATCTTTCCAACTTATTATCTCACCAAAAACCCTAAAACTCAACCAATAGAAGAGATTCACAAGGAAAGGCGATTTGGTTACCTCCAGAAGATGATAACTGAGATAATAGTTGTTTCCCACACTCTACTTGCTCCAATCTCCTTCTCCTCTAAGCCTTCTCCCTCCAAGGATCCTCTCTTCAAGCTTCAAACACACAATGGGCACACACACACACACGTATTAGGGTTTTAAGGGGCTCTCAAAAGACTGCAAAGAGGCCATAGGAGGCTTATCATTCCTTAAATAGGGTGCAAAACCCCGAGATTTAGGGTTTCATCTGCCAGCTCCTACTCGTCGAGTCCCTTAGTGGACTCGCCGAGTAGGTCACTAAACACGCGTTCCAAACCCGCTGCTACTCGACGAGTAGGGCAACCAACTCGTCGAGTAGGGCATTAAACCAGTTAACCTTTTATTTAAATCCATACCTGGAATCGAGGCGTTACAATTCTCCCCCACTTGAACTAGACTTCGTCCTCGAAGTCCGCTGCAGTGAACAACTCCGGGTAATGCTCCCGCATTTCGGCCTCCGTCTCCCACGTCCACTCGGACCCCCTTCGATGCTCCCACTGTACTTTCACCAAAGGTATCTCCTTATTCCTCAGAATCTTCATCTTCTTCTCCAAAATGGCCACAGGTTTCTCCATATAGTTCAGGCGCTCATCAACCTGAATATCATTCAGCGATACTACTGCCTCCTGGTCCATAATGCACTTTCGCAGCTGCGAAACGTGGAAAGTGTTGTGTATCCGACTAAGCTCCTCCGGCAGCTCTAGCCTGTAAGCTACCTTGCCAACCCTGGCAATGATCCTGAACGACCCAATATATCGGGGACCCAATTTTCCCTTCTTCCTGAAGCGAATCACGCCTTTCCAGGGCGAGACCTTCAGGAGTACCATGTCACCCACCTGAAATTCCAACTCAGATCGGCGTCTGTCGGCATAACTCTTCTGCCGACTCTGAGCGGTCTGCAAACGCTGCCTAACCTGCTGGATCTTTTCGGTAGTCTGCAAGACTACCTCCGTACTAGCCATCACTCTGTGTCCAACTTCACCCCAACAGACCGGGGTGCGACATCTCCGCCCGTACAACAGCTCGAATGGCGGGGCGCCAAGACTAGAATGGTAGCTGTTGTTGTAGGAGAATTCCGCAAGCGGTAGGTGAGAATCCCAACTCCCACCGAAATCAATGACACACGCCCTCAACATGTCCTCGAGGGTCTGAATAGTCCGTTCGCTCTGGCCGTCTGTCTGCGGGTGGAATGTTGTGCTGAAGTGCAACCGCGTGCCCAGCTCCTCGTGAAACTTTTGCCAGAAACGGGAGGTAAACCTGACATCCCGATCGAAGACAATGGAAACAGGAACCCCATGGCGAGACACGATCTCGCGAATGTACAATTCGGCCAATTTCTCGGCTGATGAGCTCTCCCGTATAGCCAAGAAGTGGGCACTCTTGGTCAATCGATCCACGATGACCCATATAGCATCAAACCCCTTTGCCGTCCTCGACAACTTGGTAATAAAATCCATCGTGATCTGTTCCCATTTCCACATGGGAATCTCTAAGGGCTG